TACACAGCTTGGAAAATCAGCCTGACATCTATCAAAGACAATATAGAAAGACCCAACACACAGGGCATCCAATCAAGTTGAGTAGCCTACCAGGAAGTCTCCCTTCATCTGGGCACTGTTCAGGTCTGGAAACATCTACCTCTTCCATACTTCATAGGAATCTTGGGACTGCCAGCTTCCTGAGAGATAACCGTGAAGTTAAGTACCAATACACTTATAAATTTTTTCCTTAGAAGATACCTAGCAATTAGGAAAGACATCAGAAAAGAAAAGCACCTACAGCTGTAGCACTTGCTAACTGGAATAAATCGGCATAAGTAACACCTGGGTACTTGTCCTCGATAGGTTGAACAAGCTTTAATGCATTCACAAGTCCTGTTACCCCCATTAAAATTCTTCAGTAACAAGCTATGGAGTGGTATTTTAACATTTTACAGAGGATACACATACCAGTATGGCTCAATGTTTAAGTTCGATATCAAATCGCAAACTTCCATTAGCTCCTCCTCTTTGGGGCCACTCTTTGATGTTCTCGTCATATATAGCAGCATCGTGCCAACCTAGACGAACCTGCAGCCATAGTGCATGAATCAGAGTGTACCCTGAAATATTATAAGTAAGATGAATTGGTTGTCAAACAAGAATGTGCCAAGCTTGTGCAGCAATACCGTGGAATTTCTAAACTAACATAGATTTCTGGCCTAAGTAATTTAATTTTGTTACTAAAAAGGTTTCTTAAAAATCTGTTTGTTTATGAACATGTCCAGTAACAGGAGATGTTGACTTAGCCTTATCATATTAATATATATACCACGACGTCTCTAACAAACTTAAGAGTAGGTAGTGGTTGTTACCATTTTCATCACTAGTTTCATAATCGTTCGACTTTCTAAATCTTGATTTCAGGAAGGTTTTTGACACATTACTTATTACCAACACTTTTTGGAACCAAACGAGCACATTAGATATCTTCTTTGCTTCAAATCTTTCACACCTATAGCGTTGGTGATGGACATATCAAATGGCATCATTGTCTCTTACAAGGAGAGCAATTCTCCCAACTCCTTCAATTTAGCACTGCAACGGACAGTTTTGCAAAATTATACCAAACTTGTGAGGATGCTTTCATCAGAAAAAAGTTGCAGAATTCTACATTGTTCTTCAATATGTTGACGACGCACTTTTACCAACTCCAATGAACTCAACCTCCATAGCCAACCTGAAGTTTCTTTGCTATTCATGTGAGTACTCTCTGGATTCCGAACGTTTTCCCCAAATCATTCTTGTACAACTTCATCACCAATTCTAACAAATGGCCATCATTCCCGGTAGTAGCATAAGTATTCACTTCCTGTTGCTATTTTGTTGGCCCATTACCATTCCCCTCCATATAGGCCCTAGCCCATTCTCTACTCCTCTTCTCCTACCCGATGAAATGAACCCTATGTCGGCAACCCCCTTTCCATCTTCGTGTCCTGTTGGCTGCCGCTGTTAGTCCCATCTCCCCATCCTTGTAGGTCGGCTCCTACCATTCGAAACCCTATCCTTTTTCTCTCCCGTGTCGGCTGCCCCCTTTGCTATTTAAGTCGAAGGGCTGGTAGTAGCTCGGTGGAGAAAAAGAGGAGCGACGTCGTTAAAAAGACCTTGAGCTTTGTGCTCTCCTCTACTTTGTGCAATAAATCCTCTCCCTTCTAGAGCTTTGTGCTTTCACCCTTTGTGAGGTGAGTGAGAGACAGTGGAATAGTTGCTTTCCCCCCTTTGTGTTCTTGGTGGTGCACACGAGAGAAGAACGGACTGGTTGGTCAGGCTTCTGAGCCAAACAGCGACGACGTCGATCATCAACAGTGGTATCAGAGCTCGGTGAGTCGTCGCCGTTCAAAAACCATCGCCGGCGAGCTTCAGGAACTGCCGCTCGAAGAGCCTCTTCAGTCTCGACCTCGTCCCGGGCTTCGTCAGATCGGACTTGATCGAGGACTGGTGGACGAAGATATCCTCGCTACCTAGGGTTTTGTACTGTTGAACTACTTCACGGTCGTGGTAATTTGTATTTTATTGTGTTTTTTCTGTGTGAAAAAATGTCTGTTGCTAATCAATATAGTATGATTCAATATGGTATGGCTCCGTTCAACGGAAAATCTGATTTTAGCATTTGGAAACAAAAAATAAAATGCATCTTAATTCAACAGAAGTCCGTTAGGGCTGTTGGTCAGACTTATTTAACCTCTGACACTGAAAATAAACGGGCGGAAATGAACGAAAATGCTTGTTCCACAATTTATTTGAACTTATCTGACTCTGTGATTAGAAAAGTTGGAATTTTGGACTGTGCTAAAACTCTTTGGGATAAACTTGAAGAACTCTATACTGAAACCTCTTTGCCCAGTAAAATATTTTTGCTTGAATTTTTTTTTCAAATTTAGATTGGATATGTCTAAGGATATTGAGGAGAACCTAGATGTTTTCACAAAACTTATTTCAGATATTAAGTTAACTGGTGATAAACATATAGACGACTATACTCCTATTACCCTTCTAAATGCTATTCCTGACTCATATAATGATGTGAAATCTGCTATTAAATATGGTAAAGATGAGGTTACCTTGACATTATGATCAATGGTCTTAAGAGTAAGGAATTAGATTTAAAACATTCTGAGGGGAATAAAAATTCTGGTGAGCGTATGCATGTGAGGGGTAGGTCTCAGAATAGGTTTAATAATCAAAAGAATGCTAGTAATGGGGAATCAAATAGGAAAAAAATTCAAAAATGTAAAGGGTAGATCTAAGTCTAGATTTAAAGTTAAAAAATGCTATAATTGTAAAAATGCTATAATTGTCATGAAACTGGTCACTTTATTAAAGATTGTCCTAAGCCTAAGAAAAATCAGCAAAATAATCATGCTAATATGGCTGTATGTGAGGGCAAAATGGGTGAAATTTTTATGATTAATAATCTTTGTGAACATACATATTTGAACTCTATGTTATCTGATTCTTTATGTAAATCAGATTGGTTAGTAGACTCTGGTTGTACTTTTCATATGACTCCTTTTAAAAACTTATTTTCAAACTACAAGAAAATAGAGAATGACTTTGTGTCAATGGCAAATGAAAAGAAATGCAATGTTTTAGGAACTGGTGATGTATGCCTTAGGTTTTCTTCAGGTTCTGTGTTTACTTTGAAGGATGTTAGACATGTTCCTGATTTACGTTATAACTTGATTTCTTGTGCATCTCTAGTGTTTACTTTGAAGGATGTTAGACATGTTCCTGATTTACGTTATAACTTGATTTCTTGTGCATCTCTAGAAAATGATGGTTTGGAGGGAAAATTTTACGTTATAACTTGATTTCTTGTGCATCTCTAGAAAATGATGGTTTGGAGGGAAAATAGGGTAAATGAGTTATGAAAATTCTGAAATGGTCTCTTGTTATTTTTACTGCTAAAAAACAAAATAATTTGTATGTTTGTCATGTTGAACCTGTACTTGATTCTGTTAACTCCGTGATAGGTGATAAATCTGTTTTATGGCATAATAGATTAGGTCACATGAGTAACAAAGGATTAGAAATTTTGCATAAAGGAGGTCACTTTGGTAGTGATAAAAAATCCCTCATCCCTTTCTGTAAATCTTGTGTGCTAGGAAAACAGCATAAGGTTAGTTTTTCTATTTCTTCTTTTCCTAATCAGTCTAAGTGCACTAATGTACTTGAATATTTGTATGCTAATGTGTGGGGTCCCTCTGGTGTGTCTACGCATGGAGGGAACTAATATTTTCTTTCCATAATTGATGATTATTCTAGGAAAGTTTAGGTTTTACTCATGAAACAAAAATGTAAAGTTTTTGATAAATTTAAAAACTGGAAAATTATGATTGAAAACCAAATGGGAGAGAAAATTAAAACTCTTAGGACAGACAATGGTCTTGAGTTTTGTAACAAATAATTGAATGATTTATGTACTACTTGGGGTATTAAAAGATATAAATCTGTTCTCTACACACCCCAGCAGAATGGGGTTGCTGAAAGGATGAATAGAACTCTCTTAGAGAGGGTGAGAGCTATGTTGGCCACATCTGGGCTATCTAAGAAGTTCTGGGGAGAAGCTGTTTGTACTGCGGCCTATTTAATTAACAACCCCCTTCTGTTGCCTTAGGAGAAAAATGCCCTGAATTTGTGTTCACGTGCAAACCTATTGATTTAAATAATTTGAGAATTTTCGGGAGTGCTGGCTATGTACATCCAAAGATTGATAAGTTAGAACCTAGATATAGGAAATGTGTTTTCTTAGGATACCTTGAAGGCGTAAAAGGTTATAGGCTTTGGAATAAGAGTGAACCGGGGTTTAAGGTAGTGATAAGTAGAGATGTTGTTTAACCGGGGTTTAAGGTAGTGATAAGTAGAGATGTTGTTTTTAATGAAAATGAATTTTCTTGTTTACCTTTACCTGTCCCTATTCCTAAAAATGATGCTCTATGTTGTTTTTAATGAAAATGAATTTTCTTGTTTACCTTTACCTGTCCCTATTCCTAAAAATGATGCTCTAAATAAAGTGGAGCAAATGCTTGTTATTAATCAACCCGAATCACCTCCTGGAGAGAAATTGAATGATATAATTATTGAAAACCAAGATGAGATTATTCCTAATGAAGTGGAGCATGATATGTAGGAAATAGATAACATGTATGATTTGAATGATTATCAACTCACTAGGGATAGAAATAAAAGAACCATTAGGAAACCAAAAAGGTATAGAGATTGAAATTTGAGTGATTGTAATATGCCTGAGTTTGCCTTTAATGTGTTTGAATCCCTTGAGTGCAATGAACCTATGACTTATAGAGAAGCATTAAAATTGAAATAATCTGAAGAATGGATTAGTGCTATGAAGAGTTGTAGGATCTGAAATAGATACACTTGAACACTAGAGGGGGGTGAATAGTATTCTTTTAAAATTTATGCAAAGTATATTATAAATTGCAAAGAAAAATGGTAATCTCAGAAATTCACAATCACAAACACAAGGATTTATACTGGTTCCACCAATCCGGTGTACATCCAGTCCCCAAGCAAATCCCGCTTGAGAGTTTCCACTATGATTTTGAATAAACTTACAAAATCAAACGCAAACCTGACCAATTTGTAAGTCCCTACAAATTGCAACACCAATTGACAAACACCTTACCAATTTGAACACCAATCTCTAAACCAAGAGATCAACCCTCTCAAACCCGAGAGGAATCCTTTTTGAAGCAAGAACACAATTGATCCTATAAGCCTTAAATGTGTAGTGAAGTGCAGCAGTGGCTTAGGATTCTTTTAATCTCTGTAAATTGCCTAAACAATAGGTTTTTGAATAATGTTCAGAGGCAATTTCAGAAACTTCTCTTTTTCTTAAAATCTGAATATTTTTCACTTGAAAAATTGCACAAAGATCAAAGCTTTGGGTTTTTATATATCTGCAATTTTTCTGAACAAATAACCTATTTATAGCCCTTGAAAAGACAAATTTTTAAACTTTAAAAGACAAATTTTTAAACTTTAAAAACGTTTAAAAACGGCTATAAACAGTCATAAATTCAAACTTTGAAATCTGGAAAATTGAAATCTGGAAAAACTGTATCTGTAGTCGACTACAATACACATTAGTCGACTACACTGAGTTCAAACGGACTCTGTGTATACAAAAGATTTCTCAGTAGTTGACTACAAAGCTCATTAGTCGACTACACTGTATTTTGACAGAAACTGATAAAATGAAATTTACGTTCAGTAGTCGACTATAATGTTGATTAGTCGACTACACTGTAAAACAACAGAAACTTATGTTTCTGTCAAACACTTGAGTAGTCGACTATAATCTATTGTAGTCGACTATACTGTAAATTAACAGAAACAAGAGTAAAAATTATGAAATAAAATATTTTTATACTTAAGTTTTAACTATAATTCTAATGGTTAACATAGGGGATTTCTATAGTTAACCAACACACTAAGCCTGTGTTAGTGTGTTCTAATATTGTGTGTGTGTGCGTGTGTGTGATCAAGGCTTGTACAATAATTCTAAGTAAAGAAAATATAAAATACATTATCTCATATGTTCTTTATTTTCTTCACTTCATAAGGCCTTGAAAACATCTTGCACTTGTTCATATTCTGATATTAAAATCTGCATATAAAAGTTAGTGCACACACTGTATAAATTGTTATCATCAAAATACTATTATGGAGATATGATATTCAACATTCTCCCCCTTTTTGATGATAACAAATAATTTATGCCTAAGTATATATTTTATAATCAGATTTAAACATTATGAAATAACCATACTTACTCCCCCTGCATATATGCAAATGTGAGTCATATATAAGTCTATAACAACATAAGTC